ATGTACGTGACAACTTGAAAGTTTCCTCCCAAATCACAATTCCCTTAACATTTTGTTCATTTTTTTTCAAAAATCTTCTCTACCTACCTCACTTACGAAATGGTTGATCCCTAATCAAAATATTACTTTGCGCAATCAAAATCTGTGCGACTTCCATGTTATTGTACTGGTGCAACAATAGAAACATGTGAAATATGCCTGGCGGCTTTGGCCGGCGAACTGAGGTCAATTTAACATCATTGTTAAAAGCATCTATTGTTACATGTACCATGGCAGTAGCGACCGAAAAAAAAATTTTTGAACGAATTTAGTTTAGACAACGAGACGATACTGCACACACATTCCCTCGCAGTGATCAATACACACTAACGCAGGGCTAACGGAAACGACTCTACTTTTTGACCCGAGTTATCATAACCCCGGAAGAACAAGAACGCACATGCGCAAGGCTAATTAGCATAATTTATTTGGATGGATAAACAGGCATGGTCGTTGCGTTGATTTTTTCCTTTTTGCTATCAGTTCCAGTTACATGCGTATTTATCGATATTTATAGGAGTTCAAAGTGAATAAATATCGATACTAAATAACAAGTGAGCTGTTATGTTTTTTTTGTTGGTAATCAATTCGATCGAGGATTTACCGTCGGCATTCCAATTCACCCCAGCCACATGCATAGGGACCGTGACTGTGTTCCGACGACTCACACAACTTTTGTGGGTCGTCATCGTTGTGATTGCTCGATTCATTCATTGAACAAAATTGTAAGTTATTCCCATGGTATACATATTTCAACAAAACATTAATGACAGCATGTTTTTTTATCAAGACACTATCAAATTCTTTATGTTTTTGGCGTTCCATAGACATCAGTACAGTTTGCTTGCCGTGGTAAACTGAATTATAAACAAGAATAAAACATAATTGTCGAAGCCATCGGTTGAATGAAAGGTGTGAAAACGCGCTAACTTTGTCCTTTGTGAGCTTATTAGTTGTCTGAGATGGAAGGCAGTAGTCTGCAAGACGTCTGAGATGGAAGGCAGTAGTCTGCAAGACATCTGAGAACTATGTCCGTTATATGCAGTTCAACTGATCACTGCGACCGCTGAAGCGTGGCCGTTGGCCGCGTTAGGCAGGTGGCCGCTGTAAACAGGGTACTTTACATGTAAAATTCGTAGGGACTGTACGGTTGTGACCGCTATAGGCAGGTGGCCGCTATATCCAGGTGGCCGTTAACACAGGTTTGACTGTAGTATAATCCCATGTTGGACTCACCTTGCAAGTTTTTCTTCTGCTGTTTTCTCAACAACAGAACTCTTTGGTGGATCAGTCGGTACTGTTTGCACAATGTGCTCCACTGGTCCAAATAGATCATGTATCACCCATGTTTCTATCTTCTGCTCTTTGGGATGGTCTTTTTTAGGTGCCTTTGGTATGCTACCATTGGCTGCTTTACCCATGCGTTCTAGTAACATTGCGGCCTAGTGGATTTATAATAATATGGTTGAATAGTTTTTAAATGGAATTTTGTTTTGCTAAAAACATTTCAAAAACATCCATCTAAACTTTGTACAAATCTCCAGTGAACAATTGAACAAACTAACAAGCCATGCATGGCACAGTCCCTGTTAGTTATCAAATTTGAGATATATAGTTTTGTTTATAGTAATACAGTTGGAATATAAACATGTCAGAAGTATGGATCCAGAAGATGATGCTTGATTATGATGATTTTTTAACATTAAAATGATTGACATTGTATCTGATCGTCAAATGAGAAATACTATATTGCTCTGGAACAGCATTAATTAAAACAAAATGGAAATCAGTCGGCCATTTTGTAAAACGAATATATAAAATTTGAACATAATCAGTCAAAGCACATCAGAAATGTGGCTCTAGAAGCACATTCATTTAAACAAAAATAAAATGATGTGCATCAGGAATCGCTAATCTTTAATGTATGTACCAATCCATCCATAAACGCAAAGATCAAGTTCTGGAATGTCAAACCAATATATCTATGTCATGATGTACATTGTATAATGAATATATCAAATTTGATCATAATCAGTCAAAGCATGGCTGAGATATGGCACTAGAACTGCATTCATTAAAACAAAATGGTTGCCAGTCGGCTATTTTAAATTGGATCTGAAAAATATAATGATGTGCATCAAGGTCCCATAATTTCCAACTTATGTACCAAGTTTGAAAAAAATCCATCCATAAACGCCAAGATTCAGTTCTGGAATGTCAGAAATGCTTGATTTTGAAGATTTTTTATCACAAAATGGCAGCCATTCGGCCATCTTGAATCACATCTTGAAACAAATTGATGTGCATATGTATAATATTATGTATGATGTATGTGTGAAGTTTGATTGTGATTGGTCCAGGAATGTCTAAGATACAGGTCTGGACGCACACACACACAAAGGTCAAAACATATTAAGTCCCTGTTTTCGGACTGCAACCGAACGAGGACTAAAAACTAGTCTTCTAAAATGGGTAAGTCTGCGGACTAAATGGGCAAGTCTGCGGACTAAATGGGCAAGTCTGCGGACTAAATGGGCAAGTCTGCGGACTAAATGGGCAAGTCTGCGGACTAAATGGGCAAGTCTGCGGACTAAAGTCTGCGGACTAAATGGGCAAGTGTACAGCACCCTAATGCACTGCAACATAATATGTACAAGGAGACTCACCTTCATTTGTAATGTCTGTAATAATTCATATACGGATTCCCTTTGATGTGGTAAGGCACAAAGTAAAGCTACTAACTTAGGCTGAACAGCTGTGAAAAAGTGAACAAATTTAGTTAAAATCAACCCAAACACATGTCAGTTATAATCAATTACATTCAATTCAGTAGAGGAAACAAATCACTGTGGTTTCAATTGAGTTGATTTTTCCTGAGGTTTCGATATTGCTCACATTCAAAGAGACAGTTGTCTACAAAATATTTACCGGGGTAATGTGGTATTCTAAAATATCATGAATTTACATGTGACAGTTTACATACACCTCAGAATAAATTCAAATTACAGACCATTGCACTGATAACATTCCTGGGTATTTTAGTCATGATTTATAAGTCAGTGCAAAGGAAATGCCAATAAAAGTTTCACCTGAATCAATGTCAACATTTGTTTCACCTGAATCAATGTCAACATTTGTTTCACCTGAATCAATGTCAACATTTGTTTCAATAAAAGTTTCACCTGAATCAATGTCAACATTTGTTTCACCTGAATCAATGTCAACATTTGTTTCACCTGAATCAATGTCAACATTTGTTTCACCTGAATCAATGTCAATATTTGTTTCACCTGAATCAATGTCAACATTTGTTTCACCTGAATCAATGTCAACATTTGTTTCACCTGAATCAATGTCAACATTTGTTTCACCTGAATCAATGTCAACATATGTTTCACCTGAATCAATGTCAATATTTGTTTCACCTGAATCAATGTCAACATTTGTTTCACCTGAATCAATGTCAACATTTGTTTCACCTGAATCAATGTCAACATTTGTTTCACCTGAATTAATGTCAGCATTTGTTTCACCTGAATCAATGTCAACATTTGTTTCACCTGAATCAATGTCAACATTTGTTTCACCTGAATCAATGTCAACATTTGTTTCACCTGAATCAATGTCAACATTTGTTTCACCTGAATCAATGTCAACATTTGTTTCACCTGAATCAATGTCAACATTTGTTTCAATAAAGGTTTCACCTGAATCAATGTCAACATTTGTTTCACCTGAATCAATGTCAACATTTGTTTCACTGAATCAATGTCAACATTTGTTTCATCTGAATCAATGTCAACATTTGTTTCACCTGAATCAATGTCAACATTTGTTTCAATAAAAGTTTCACCTGAATCAATGTCAACATTTGTTTCACCTGAATCAATGTCAACATTTGTTTCACCTGAATCAATGTCAACATTTGTTTCACCTGAATCAATGTCAACATTTGTTTCACCTGAATCAATCAATGTCAACATTTGTTTCACCTGAATCAATGTCAACATTTGTTTCACCTGAATCAATGTCAACATTTGTTTCACCTGAATCAATGTCAACATTTGTTTCACCTGAATCAAAAGACAGGAACAAAAAAGAAGAGGGTTTTTAAGAAAGTGGTGGAATTTCATAATTTTCCCAGATTTCTTTTTTTTGAAAGGTTTTTCAAGGGCTGGGAAATGTGATTCTTTTGGAATTCCCATACATGTACATTCCAGGAATTTTAGGCTGCACACAGACCTTGTGTGAAGCTTAACAAAGAATATGTTGAAGTGCTTAGTTATTATAAGTGGGATAAATAATCACAAATAAAATACAATAAATTCATGGATACCGTTACCAGTCATTTTAAAATGTTTAGGATATAAACCCAGATTCATAATGATAATTCTTTCTTCCACAATTCAAAAAAAAAAAACCCAGAAGAACAAAATTTTGGAAAGTCAAAAAAACTCACAATTCTATGATTTGTTTTTCAGACAATAAATTCTGCCAAATAATTACGTGCAATACATATTACTTGATTCATTTTCACACAGAAAAGTATTATAAAAATTACTTACCTATTTCTCTAATAGTATCTAACATAACTTTATATAACTGTTTTAAAAAAAAAATAAAACATTACCAACACTGCAAGTGATCACAATTTCAAGGTATGATGTAACTATGTATATTAGCCCCCCCAAAAAGGATGTTGTCTTACTATGAACAAGTGATGAGACAGTGATGTTTTTTTATTTGTTTTCAAGTTCAAAACATAAATGAGATATTAATGATGTAACTAAAATCAACATTTAGAAGCTGCCATCAGAACAAGGACGGAGATGATATCACTATCTGACAGATTCATCAACCATGAAATATGTCATCGTCGGCAGAAGTACAGCTTCATATATTTACATTGTAAATAAAACTAAACTAAAGTTACGTCAAAAAATATATTTACATAGTGAAGGTTCAGGAATATAATTGACTGCAGAATGTGAATTTAATTGAGCCTTTTAAATTAAACTAGATTTGTAAATAAAAGACACTCACTGATTGTTAAGGCTTTGTTTATCATTGAATGCAAAAATGAGCTGTCTTCATGATTTCTGTTTTACGAAGCCAGTAATCAAGCATACTGTGGAATATTTTATTTTCGCTGGAATTAATTTTCGCTGAAAAGGTTTTTTGGGCGTTTTGTATGGAATTTATTTTCACTGATTTTTTGATGAGTTCAATGTGAAATACAGGAAAAAAAGAATATTCGCTGGATTTTATTTTCACGGAATCATCCCTTCAGCGAAAATAGCAAAAATAAATTCCAAGCGAAAATAAAGTATTCTACAGTATGTTAAAAAATACTTCACCATTTATTTGAGATCTTGCTATCAAGCGAGAATTAAAAATGATATCAACATGACAAAGCCAATGAAATCACTGGATGGAACTTACTGAAGTATGGCGGCAGATTTCTAGAAATGAAACATCTTTTAAATAAGACTGTGAAAGAAAAAAAGAAACCCATTATGAGTTATTTTAATTGAATACAAATATTAAACAACCTACTGTACTTTTTGACTGTATTATTATTTGTTATAATCACAGATTGTAAATAATTAATCAACGAGAGATTAGGGTAGCAAGGGGACCACCTCTGAGGGACATTTGAATAGTACATGTTGATCACTGCACTGCATCATACTTTTATGTGTTCCATGCAGTATACAAGATGCATAAACTACAATATTCGTTGACATGAAATTCAAACGCACATTGTTTGAATGACTGTTAGCAATTTAACTTTTGAAATCAACATTCGATTTTTTTGTGATCAAATCACAAGATCTAATCTTACCTCTAAAAAAGGCACTAAAGATGATCCTTCCAATATACTATAGACATCGGCAACAGGATCCACCGGTTCGATAACCACCTCGTCCCCACTACTATTCCCACTACTACTGCCACTACTGCTACTGCTCGTACTGGCCGTGGCACTGTTATAACCGCTGCTACACGCACTAGTCACAAACACGCATTGTGAGGTACTCGCAACACCCGCCGCAGACGATGACGCCATTGCCGTTGAGTTCAAAGTGACTTTTGTATTGTTACTTGTACATTTTGTACAAGAAGAGTCAGTATTACTTGCATAAGTTGTCGATGCCATAGAGGAATTCCGTGAGCTACTGCTGCTGTTACAACTAGTTTTGGAGCTGCTGTTAGATTTGTTTAAGTTCATTGCGCCATAGGTTTGAAATAAACATCTGAGTTCAGATAATATGCTATTCAGGACGGACTCTATTTGCTTGTCTTTCTCTTTTTGTGCTGCGATATATGCTGAGATATCCCAACCTAAAAATGAATATCAAAAAGCAAAGTTAGTGTACAATGCACTTAAAAATATTATAAAGACCATGTTGATAATCCCTGGTCTGTGTTAAACCTGGCGTAGAATCAATATCCAATGAGAAGCGTGATTAACAATTAGAGTTGTCATTATTTGGAATTGGCAGTGGTCACACGACTTGGCAGTTGTCACACGACTTGGCTGTGGTCACACGACTTGGCTGTGGTCACACGACTTGGCAGCTGGCAGCTGTGTATCAGATTTTTTGTTGATGAAACATGACATGAATTACATATTGGAATTTTGTTTTTGTTTAGTAAATTAAATTCTTTGCTGAATATTTCCCATGATGCAATTCACAGAAGGCAGAGAAAATAGTATAACACCTTGAAATCCAGTATTTACATCCCCATTTCCTGCTTCCCTTTAAATTACTTTAACTGAAGTATGCTACTTTAGATTTGAAGAAGGCTACCTGCAAAGAATTAATATGTATGAAGAGTAAAACCAAACATTACCTGGTCTATTTCGGTGTCCATATCCGACTCCTTTCTGCCAGTATTCTTTCTTTTTACCGTCCTTGACAAAGAGGAAGAAGAAAAAAGTTTTCTGAATAAATGTAATCCGTTATTATTGAGAAACTCATGCATGAGTACTATTCTTACAAATTTGAGTAACCAAAGATAAATAAAACAAGCCATGCATGGCACAGTCCTCGTTAGTTATTAAATTTAAGATATATAGTTTTGTTTATAGTAATATAGCTGGAATATAACCATGTCAGGAGTATGATTTTTTAACATTAAAATGATTGACATTTGTATCTGATCGTCAAACAAGTACTTCCATATTGAGAGATATTGCTCTGGAACAGCAATTGAAAATCAGCCATTTTGAATACATGTATATATATATAACATGATGTATAACGAATATATAAAATTTGAATATAATCAGTCAAAGCATTCAAGAGATATGGCTCTAGAAGCCCAATCATTAAAACAAAATGACCGCCAGTCAGTCATTTTGAATCCAATCTGAAAAAAAAATGCTGTGCATCAGGAACCCGTAATGTCTAATGTATGTACTAAGTTTGAATGAAACCCATCCATAAATGTTTGATATTTGATGTTTTTTTAGCACAAAAATGGCCAGCATTTGGCCATTTTGAATAGGATCGTCAAACCAATATATCTGTTTATCTATGACATGATGTATAATAATGAATATTTAAAATTTGAACATATTCAGTGAAAGCAAGTCAGAGATACGATATGACACGTCCCCGTTCCGTTCATATTTGAATGACATATACATTCAAAGCAGATCATGATCGAAAAGCACCTGCATATGTACAACACATTGTTCTAAATCTGAACAAAATCCATCCATGCATGACTGAGATCAGGTTCCGGAATTGTGAAAATACGTGATTTTGATGCATTTTCGGCCTTAAAATGGCCATCATTCAGCTATTGTTAAGCGGATCATGAAACAAATGCACATATCTATTTGTGACATGATGTACCATGTATGTGTGAAGTTTGAACTTGATCAATCCAGACATGTCTTGGATACGGATCCAGAACTGAATTTATTAAAACAAAATGGCCGCCAGTCGGCTATTTCAAACTTGATCCGGAAAAAAAAAGACGTGCATCAAGGTCCTATTATGTTTAATGTATGTACCAAATTTGAACAAAATCCGTCCATGCATAACTGAGATCCGGGTCCGGAATGGTGAAAATGTGTGATTTCAATGCATTTTCGACCTTAAAGAGGCCGCCATTTGGCTATCGTTAATGAAATCATGAAACAAATGCACATACATATTTGTGACATGATGTACCTTGTGTGTGTGAAGTTTGAACTTGATCAATCCAGACATGTCTCGGATACGGATC